CGTTTCCCCACTGACCAAGACTTTCTCTATCCTGAAGAAGCGAATTGGGAGGGTTGGCGTCTTGAACCATTGCTGCTCACAGTAGTCCCTGGTATGATTGGAGAGGCAAGTGATCCACTTCGAGGGGATCGCAGAGATCMRTTCYGCCAGATGASTGTCCACTTGATGAAGACCAGCCAGATATTGTCTGAGTTCAGTTACCTTCTTCCATGTTTTCGTATCAGTGTCCCAAATATGTCGAATGAGCCAGATGCCTCGTTGCATCCATTTGCGGCCGAAGTTACCAGGGCCCTTGGCCACAGAGAACGCCAGYCCGRCTTGGTTACGAATCGYTGTATTCTCGAATARACAAGAGTTAAGGGTGTCTTCTATTGTGGATGGTTCCTCTAGGCGTTGGGGAAGYATCTTTCCCCATGCCTTGAGAATACCTTCYCAGGTYTTAGTTGAGGTACGRGTAGTGAAGGGTTTCATTAGTAAAGCGTGCCACACAGCTTCAGGGTTAGAAAGTTTCCACTGATTCGCMAGGGAGAATTTGGCTAGAATGATCCAAGGTTGTATTTCATTAGTTGTCAGGGCTCTAACTGACCATTTTGCCAGTAGTGCCTTATTCTGCGTTTCAGGGTCTAGAAGCCCCAGACCACCCGCCTTTTTTTTTTTCTGTTATTTTAGACCAACTGACCTTGGACAGAACTGATTGGGCCTCCGAGTCCCCTTTCCAGAGAAAGCGGGATAGGAGGCGTCTGATGTTGGTACCTGATTTTGGGGGGAGTGCACAGGAAGATAAAATGAACCATAATTTGGATGATATAAAGGTGTTAATCACCATAGCCCTGCCAAATAGTGATAAGAACCGGGTTTTGGACCAACGAGCGCATGCGTCTCTAATCGTGTTTTCAATAATTGAGTTCTGAATGTCAGAAGAATCTTCAAAGGATAGCTGGATCCCCAGGTACCTCTCTACCGCCGAGCGAGGTTTTACTGTTATACCGAGGTCTAAAGCCAACGGTTCACCACTGGGGATGAGGGCCACCGACTTCTGCCAGCTGACTCGCATTTCCGATGTCAATTCATACGTGGATAAGCATTGTTCTAAGGCTGAAAGTGATGAGACTGAATTCTCAGAGATTGCAGAAAAGTCGTCTGCCAAGGCAGACACTTTGATGGAGTATGAAGGGGAGATCTGCAATCCTTCGAAATCGGGGTGTTGCCTTACCATATTTAGCAGAATTTCGAGCTGTATCACAAATAGCGAAGGGGCCAGGGGGCATCCCTGACGTAGAGACCTGGTAACCTTGAACGGGGATGATGGGCATCCGTTCACCATAACCCTGCCTGAAGAGGCTCCATAGAGAGCTTTAACAAAAGTTCTGAAGTTAGGACCTATTCCTACTCTCTCTAGGACCGCCAGGAGAAAGTCCCAATTGACCCTATCATATGCTTTCTGGAAATCTATTAGGATCACCGTTTTATTGAGCCTATGTTGGTTGATCCAGTCGATGGACTGGGAGATGGTCATGACGTTGTCCAGCACCTGCCTGCCCGGTATGAAGTCGGATTGGTCAGGTTGTACTAGTTTGCAAAGGAAGGGTTTTATCCGAAGTGCTAGGGTTTTAGCAAGGATCTTACCGTGGACGTTGAGTAAAGAGATTGGCCTAYAGTTACGAACATCTGTTTTATCTYCCTTCTTATAAAGAAGGGTGATAATTCCTTCTGCTGTATTTGGGCCAAGGGGGTTATCTTTAAGAACYTGMTTGAAAACTYTGAGGATGTCAGGGGCAAGGRGAKACCAAAAGCGTGAGTAGAAMTYCACTKGGAGTCCATCCGGGCCTRGGCAYTTCCCTCTGGCCATGCTGTTRAGGGCTGTGGTAATTTCTGAGAGGGTAATCGGGGATTCTAATAAAGACGTTTGTTGCTCCGCTAGGATTCTGGAAGTGGAGCTCCAAAGGAAACTTTCCAAATGAGGGGGCACTATGGGAGAGTTGGGAGGTTTYTCCGAGGTCAATAGCTGTTGATAAAATATTCTGACATACTCACATAWAGTACTAGAATCTTTTGYCGGGGGTTGCGATGGGTCATCTGGGTGGTTAAGAATAGTGATCAGATTRCTGGAATTAGAGGCTGGAGTTATGGGGGATGTCTTATTATCCAACTTATCTGTGTGCARTATTTTGTCTATTAATCTRTGCTGGTCCCACAAGTTATGGTATTGTATCTGCAAGTTTTGYCATTCTTGAAGCAACCTTRCTTTTCTCCTCTGTGTGACTACCTGAGAGAAAAAGCAAGATGTATTCTTTTTCTCGAGGTTTTCTATTTTCCTTTTCAACAKAATTTCCTTGTACTTGCGATTGACCGCCTTGACCCTRKAGATGAGATTTAGTTGATTAGACATGAGAGATAATCCTTTGTCWRGCCAAATACCGTCGTTCTCGAAGAGGGTTGTATTACTTCTCCATTCCTCCCATGATTTCCAAACCCAGTCCACTACGCCTGGGTCATCCAAAACGTGTTGGCTTAGTCTGAACAGTCCCTTCCCCTTCGAGATATCGATTCCTAAGTTTAGGGAGATCGAGACCGGCTTGTGRTCTGAAAGGGGGTCCATGATTATTTCTGCCTTATTAACCAATTGCAGTACCGAGTCGTTCGTCAGGATGATATCTAATCTCCGCGATGTGAGTGTCCTGTTTKCYGCCCCTAATGTAGAGGACCACGTGAAGTCTATCWYATCCGGATGGAGTGTCCTWAAGGGGTCAAAAAGACTTTGGTCCAACATGAGATCATTGAGGGCTGCTGCTTCCCCWGGGTGGGATAGTGGTGTTGTGGAGTCTATGTCCGGGTTGGGGACCGTGTTCCAGTCCCC